TGAGAGGGAAACAATCAGATAAGGCGTTACAAACAAGATACAGTCATAGAACTAGTCTAGGATTACTGTACCTTATGATTTCAACTTCATTGCTAAATTTCATACTACCCTCAAAGGTTCTGAGAAATCAATATATTGATTATAGTTTAGCTAAGTAATTTTCGAAATATTGAGAGCATACAGGTCCGCAATTATAGAAACTATACAATTCAAGCGACTCTTCTGTATTATGTGTAATTTTGTTGTATAATTTGTATTCACCACATTCCTTTACTACCATTTATGACCGCATTCAAGGCTCCAAATAAGGAATTTCTTGGTGTGGCCATAGGTTAGTTTAACTGTAAGCCTTTAAGGTCACTTACCACCCAGGAACTACTGGGTTTTTTCTTTAATTTTTTTTTGTGCGAATAACGGCAGTATAAAAATGTTTTGTGAAAAATATATTGATTTTTAAAGAAAGAAAAAATAAAGATCCTAAATGGACATTTGAACTGCATGCGCCGAAAAATTCCAGCTGGACTAAAAAACTATTTTACAGTGCGACCACTTTTCAATAATCTATCAGGGAAAGAAGTCCATATAAAAAATTTTCATAAAACAGTGATTGGAGAAATTTTACTTTTTCAATGCCTAAACGTTCCCTCTTCTTAACTCTAGATAAATACTTATAAGTCATCCCATCTGATCATTAGGTAAATTGGAAAAAAAAAACTAACACGCTAAACATTTTTAAACGAGCATTCGTGGATGAAATTGCGCCGCAAGATGGTTCTAGTCCCGGCCATTTTTTTGCAGTACACTAATGTTGTAAGTAGGAAGGAGTCGAGAATTTAAGGCTATTGATGCAAAACAGATAGGGGTAACAAGATAAATTCTTTTTCAATCAGTTCGGATTTTGGACTATTCCCTGCCTGTTTACTTTTTACACAAAAACGTCATAATAGTGCTTTGTCACTATATAATTGCTACCAAAATTTTTGCAATCAAATCTAATACCATGATGTAGTGCCATTACCCTCGAGAACACTAGATAATGGATAAATAGTACTAGAATACTGACATATTTTTAGGTAAAGAGTTGGGAACTACCCAAGCATTTCTTGACCGTTCGAGAATTTCCTGCACCTTTCCGTTTCTCTTGAGATAACCATCTAATATATGAATAACTCACTTGCAAACACCTTGTGCACAATCGCGACACCACCAAAACTCGATCACACCGCTGCCGCCATTAGCATCGAATTTTCGCGTCGTTGAATCGCGTAAATGATTATCGAGCGATAATGATTTATTGATCGTCGACGTCACCTCTTTGCCACACTCCGAACATCGTAACGGTATTGTTGGGACCACCATCTCATCTGGAACGGGGATACTTGAACGCATGTTGAGTGGAGAATACTATAGACGAGGACAGTGGCGGCGAAGAACAACAAGTGTAGTAATTCGAATTAGCCAGGAAACTCAAAAAAGCGTGGAGAAAAAGAGAAAGTTGAATTATTGATTGAACCACTTGAAAAATATTTTGAAAAGAGATTGATCAAAGCGCTACGCGGTTGAAGATTGTAAGTGCTAACAACCTCACATTCCCTGTCTACGCTCTTTTCTTCAAGACTCATATGGGCGAATGTGCGTCCTTGAAAGCGCCAAAGCACTAAAATTCGTCGCGGCTTGCAGATGTGGCGGTATGTAAAAGGGTAGAGTGCTCAAAGATGTTATTTGAAAAAAACAACTTGTAGGCAAAAACTGGTCTTTAGAAAGTCTTGTATATTTGAGCCAAAATACTTTAAAATCTCTTGGAATATTGATCTAAGAACTTGAGAATTGCTTATGCAATGTTTCTAAGGTCCGAACTACATAACTAGGAAGTATCTTCAGATTTATCAAAATGCCAAACTTGTTTTCCAAATTAAGAAAAATTTACCGAAAAGGAAACGAAAGACGATGTCTGGAAGTTACCTACTTGACATAACCTTTGCGTATTACAACCACAATACACAACTATCTGAAAAGTGGGTACCAGTTCTCGCAATAGTCACGAGTCGAGCCGTAAGAAAGAAACGACAGAATATGTATTCTTTGTTAAGCTCGCTTAAGAACAAGCACAACTTCATAATACCTCGACGAGAAATGGTCCCTAGAATCGGCATACCTATGATTATCCTCATTTGAAAGACAATTTTGGAACG